TGTTGAGTAGCCACATCTGGAAACGAAGCATCGAAGGTGAAAGGCCGTCCCGAGCCTATTCAACCTCAGGTAATCGTTCTCATTCGCAAACTCCGTCAGATAAACGTCACGGCGTGACGTCGACGCCATTCAACGTTTTTCACACGCACCGAGACCCGGCTTCCTTCTCCTTCCTCCCCATTGGTCTCAGCCTCACAAAAACAAGATTCGATTCCCGGATTTCCCAGCTTTCTCGGATTCTTGGTTTCCCTTTCATTTCCGGCAGTGCCGTCCCGATCGAAAGCTTCCTCCGAGCGACGGTTGACCTTTCTGGGGCAGGTAAACCCGATGATCCGGTCGCTCCCTCCAACCAGATTTCCTTCGACTCCTCCTCCGCTGGCGGTTGAGCCATTTCTTGTGATTGTTGAATTTGGCATTGTGTTCTCTCGCATTACATTGTCTGGCTTTAAACCCTTTTCCCTGTCTTTTTTCGTTGAAGATCCCCTCCAGGGAAGGTGGTGAATCGTGAGTCTTCGGGTTTCAAAGATGAGTTCTTGAGAGCCAAGGAAGTTTGCTTCTGCTGCTCGTACAAGACAGTGAGCGCTTTCAACTTCTCCTTCAGTCGATGGTGTGGATTTTTTGAATGAGGATTTGTGCTGTTACCGTCTTGATTTCCTCTATTTCCGATTCTCCGTTCTGGGGTTGGCTCATTTTGGCCCAGGCCGACGGTCTGAGACCGAGTTGAAACTGGCATTCTAAACTCTTATTGCTAATTAGACATGTCCAAGAAAATCTTTTCCAGAGAAACCCCAAAGAAGTATCACGGTGAAATCAAGCAGAAGCTGAAGGGAGTTCAGAAACTTGTGGTCATGGAAGAGAAGTGGCTACTACTGCGATGAAAGAGTGACAAAATCGATGTTTGAGGAAGCTATTGAGACTCCATTTTCTGCTCATTACACACCTCCTAAAATGTTGAATTTCTTGCGAATCCTATGAAAGCGAAGGGGAATGAGAGAAACGTAAAGAGCCATTATTATTTTTAGATCTTTAGTGTTACAACATGAAATTTGAATTTATTCTGCTAACGGTCAAAATGTCAGCTCCTCAAATGGATTAGATATACAAGTAAGAGATGTGGGGTCCATTGGAAATTTTTCCTGGACCTGGTTAAGTTTGTGAAAATTTTAACTCCGAAAATTAGTGAATTATATGTAGCTAGGGAACATGACCAGAAATATATGTTTGTTTTTTTGCCAGCGACAAGAAATATATATGTAAAATAATGATATTTGTTAAAATATTAATTAAAGTTGGCAAAAAAAGAATTATGATATCCACACATAATACAAATCTATATATAATTACATTGCTCACTGGTTATGTTATAATTTTGACGTTAAAAGAAGGCATTCATTTAAAACTAATGTTACTTTTCCTTTTAACTTAATTTACTTGCTTTTTCAGGCCAGGTCATGCTTTGCCAGCTTAAGTTTATTAAAAGGTGTAATTGACTTCGAATACCAAGCAATAAACATAGGAGAAAAATACATCAGGGTGTTTAAATAAGTTATCATCTTAATCCACCATATGTTTAGAAGAGACTGAAAGAGCAATGTAAAATATTAAGCTCTGCACGGAATCTTTCCACTTTTTAATTTTTTTTATGTAAATTTCAGCTCAAAAAAATATTTTTTGTAAATTAATTCTTTTTTATTAGATTTGTAAATTAATTATCGTGATGCATTAAACTGCTAGATCTAGAACCTAAATATTAAACCATCACTTGCTGGTCAAAAAAATATATTAAACCATCAAACTATTTTATTAATTTAACGGAATTAATATAATATCCATCAATAAAATTATTTTCAGTTGTTTTCCTATACACTGGTATTTAAACCTAGTAATACAAGCTCATAATAGAGATTCCTTAAAATTATCATCCAGGTCCCAGGGATACAAATTTCGGTCATAAAAACAATTTTGTCACTTAGGACAAATTTAAGCCCCTTGAATTTTACATATAATTTAACTTAAGTGTTTTTTTTTTTTTTTTGGTTTATTGTTGACATGGGAAGGCTGAGTCGTTCTATGTAACTTTTCCCAAAGAGTACACGTGATCACGTTATTATTATCTGGGCATCAAACCGAGTAGATCCCGTTTTAACTTTTAACCGTAAGATTTGATGGGGCCACCGTAAAATGTTGTTTTGATGCGCTCCGTATAATGGTTCCGTTTTGATTACAAGACAACTTAAAACAAACATGCGTAAAATGACAAATCAATATTTTAATATTAATATGAAAAAAAACTAAAATAGAACGCACAAACACTTGATAAGACTACAAGTTGAATCAAAACATTCTTCATGCTCGCTTTTTAATACAAAACTTGATTAATTAATTTAAATAGATTAATAATATTATTTAAATTAGTTAATATAATATATTTTTAAAGATTTTTTGAGTATCTTTTTGAATTCGCTTTTTTCTTTCTTACTTGGTTATTATTGGAGAACATCAATAGAGTTAATCTAAAAAAAATTGATAAACATATAAAATAAATTTTACATATAAGACTAATATTAACTTTTTAATTAATCATACATTAAGTACAGGATGAGTATTAAATTCATGATCTCGTATTTAAGAGTATTTGTGCTACCTGTTAAAATATATAGTTGCCCGTAAAACGTATAGTGGTAAGTAACAACATAAAATTTGTAAAATTACTACTTCATCTATGGCCAACATTAACGTTAGAAATTGATATAATTCATCTTTCCAACTTTATACAGGGGATGGTATTCATATAGTTAATATCCAATCAATTTTAATATAAAATTTATTTAACTGAATTGAATAGGTTAAAAAATCTAAATAAATTATTTTATTATAACAAATTGATATGATCTCCTTAAAAATATTCTTTGGTGCACTATAAAAAATTCCTACACAACAATAAATTATATATCACTTTATAAATTAGATAAATTAATTAAAAATAATAAATATAACATATAAAATGAATTAACAGAACTACATACATACACGCAAATTGTGTCGCGAGCAATATTACTCCTCCGTCCTAATTATAAGACCTAATTGACTTATTTGAGGAGATTAGGAAGTAAGTTAAGTTGGTTATTTATAATAAATAAGTGTTGTCATTCTTAAAATATCCTTGCTAATTAAGTATATTAGCTAAAACTATCATTATTAGAAGGATTATCTTGGAAAAAAATGTATAAATATAAGAGACAAAATGGATTGGGTCTTATAATTAGGACCAAATAAAAAGTCAAATTGGGTTTTATAATAAGGACCGGAGGAGTATATATTATATGGACAAGGCAGGTAGGCATCAGGTGGGCCAAAATTTTTGCTTACTTTCCTCTCCATCTTTTGGTTTCATGAACATGATTTCTGATTTCTATTATAAACTTGTTTACATTTCAGTAATGATAATCAAACACCGCTTTAAATTTTAAAATCATAATATTCATATTTATACATTGCCATCTTTAATTTGTGCATGATCAAAACATCTACGCTCACATATTAACATTGTATATGCATAAACATATAAACACGTCATCATCATGTGTCCAAATCATAGATTTGCTTCTAAGAATAAAATAAAATGTGCAGTGTACAAAACTTTCCCCGTAAATCATTCGAAACATAAATTAACTATACGCATGTTAGATCGTTAGGTTGTTATTAATCTGGTACGTGTTTCATTAAAGCATGTATAATTATTGTTGTTCCTTGTCAATTACTAAATATTCATGTTTTCCCTCCTTCTAAGAGCAGGCTTTTGAAAAGGCAATATGGTCAACCATGCAGCTTACTGCTGGTGGCTAATTGTTCTCCGCATTTTTATTTATTTATTTTAGTTGGTAATGTTAAAAGTAAGTAGAACGTAATTAAGCTTTAAGCATAATAGTTATGATGAAGAGATCGATTGTGACCCGATTCAGCTTATGCTGCCTTTTTACAAGGAGCTCATGAGCCCGAGCAGCTATCATTACTGGAATATTTTTTTTAAAATTAAAAGATGATAAGTGTGCAAATTTTATAAAAATTGCGCTACACTCCTTCTGGTTTAATAATGACATAAGAAATTATATATGTTTTATTAAAATTCATGCGGGCCACGGGAGCACTTCACTGTGTTTAATAATCATTTTTAATATGTTTGTTCTCACTGGTTATGCAAGTGTCTTTAGTATAACATCCATTTTAAATACAAGGCTTAATTCGTGTTGTGATTTACACTATAAACATCCATTTTAAATATTTTGAAACACACACATTGATGAGTACTTCATCATATGCTGCAATCTTATGCTGGACAATAGAAGAATGTGAGGCTTGATATTTTTTTTTTTTTGGAGGGGGGAGGGGCGGGAACGCTGTGACGGACGCAACTTTTTCCGGGCTTGGGTTAGCCGGGTTTTTGGGCCACCTTATACAGCCCTATTCACAAACATCTCTCTCCATGGTTATAATCAAAATATTGAATTATGGATCAACAGGGTTTGGGTCTAGTAGAAGGGACTAATTTCTCACAAAGTGACTAATCGAGGTTCGAATCTCTGCTGGAAGAGGTGTCCACATTTAGTACCCAACAGTACCTCGAATAGGATTGCCTATAATAGGAGGATACCTATGCTTTAGCAAAAAAAAATTGAATTATGGGAAATACAAATTAAAATAATAAATATACAAATAATCCTCCCAACCTACAAGAGTAGGTCGATAGAGGCAACTGGGTTTTTGTTTTCTTGTTGCTTCATTTATTTTCTCAGCGTAATTCAGTTTTATTTTTTAAAAAAAAACCACAGAATTATTATTTTATATATAATCGGAATTCGGAACTAATATTAGTAATAACATGATGACCCAGAAGTACCATTTCTACAATGGTAATCTACATTAGGCGAGTGATATGCTAACACCAAAAAATGACAAAACCATCCTAGATGGAAAATGATTAATGCATGCCATGATGATAAGTGACAAAGATTAATGGAATCCAATAGTCCGATGACCTAGGCAATGAATAACTAATGAAAAACCTAAGACCCAGCTACACTAAACCCAAATGATGAACTCATAACTCAAGCAAAAAGAAGGAAGATGAACGACGAGACAACGAGAAGGGCCGATGTCGTTTTGGCGAAGGGTCCGGCGCTATGAGAAGAAGAAGAAGCAGCTTCCGTGTGTGGAGAATTTTGGTCGTCGTTTTGGTTTTGGTTTTGCGGTGGGGGCGAGTGTGCCTGTACGTCCAAGACCTTGACGACGATCTTCTGGCCTCTGTCACAGTGACCAGAAACACCACTGATGAAGAAGAACAAGCCAGGCCTGTCAAATGTGAACACCGTGTCGCCATTGTTGGAGAAGAACAGAGGACGCGATGCCTTGCATTTGTTGTAGTCTTCCTCGTTCACTTCTATCACCGAGTCTTCACCATACTTGAAACCTACACATCAACGCATTGTCACCGATTTATCCCATACAAATTAATATACTGGTCGAAATTGAAACTGATCTATATATAGATCTGGATCAAGAGTGAAAAGGAATTAGAAGAAAGAAAAATTAAGAGTTACGAAGGGTATCGTGAACGAGGAATCTGTTGTTGGAAGCCCAATTGTTGTAGTAATCGGCAGATTTGGGAATGGTCCAGCCAGTATGGTTGCCGCCGACTGCAAACTCTGTACTGCTCACCATCAACATGTTGCAGCAAAAAACAAGAAACGCGCACACAAAACAGCTCTTCAGCGTGGCGGCCCATTTCTGGAGTAGTTTCTCTGGAGTAGTCTCTGTGATTATGATCCCTCTTGGTGCCGCTAGAAATGAGTGGTTCAAAGTTAGGTTTGAAGGGGGACTTAAAAAGAGACCTGAATTTGAAACCCCCATGATCAGCGAGGAGGTTTGTTAACGATCTTGGGGGAGAGGATTCAGGAGGTCGTGGCTGCCCTTGACTTCCCTCCTTAACTGCTTCTCAGTTTTTTCGCTTCTCCTGTTTTCTTCTTCGCCGGGTTCATTTGTCATCTTATTTACTTTTACTTTTTTAATTCTTAATTCTATGTATCTATATTTTACGCTTGTTCCGTTCGAATTCGAAGGCGACGGATACATATCCGCGTTTTAGTATTTAGTATTTGCACATTAATAATCATCGCTTCAATTCATAGACAAAAGTAAAACATTATTTCCGGTCTTAATTTGTTTTGGATTTTTAGCAGTCATTAACTAGTGATGCGCACAGTAATATTTCATATTTATATTATATTATTAAATTACTCAACTAATTTATTATATATATAAATAGAATTTAAAATTACTCCTCTGTTAATGTAGGGCCTAATCAAAAATTTAATACTAATTTATTCTATCAACAATAAGCAAATAATGAAATAGGAGATGAAGAAAGAGAATTAAAAAATATTTATGACATTTTATAAAAAAAATATATTATATTAACTAGTTTAAGTAACATTCTTAACTTACTCAAATTAATTAATTGGATTTCATGTTAAAGATGGGAGTAGCAGCAGCCACCACAATAAGCCACGTGGATGTTGGCTAGTAAAAAAATTCAGAAAAAGAATGTTTTCACTAACTTTTCTTTCCACCTCCTCTTCACTTAATATTTCCACCGTTGGATTAACTTTCAATAGTTAAGGTTCAAAACTAAGTAAAAATATTATTATAATACTAGATATAATAAAAAATTACAATTGCCAAACCATTCACGTCAAATTTTAAAACTATAAATTTATCTACCTATTTTATTGTTATTTAAAAGTTAATATTATAATAATATTTTTACGTAATAAATCTTAGCCGTTGCAACGTGATCTAATGGTAAAAATATTAAGTGGAGAAGAAATAGAGAAGAAAGTTAGTGGAAATATTCCTCTCATGAGAAAATTCATCGATGAGTTTCTCGTCGTAGCAAAGTACATAGGGCTCTCAGTCCCAAAAAAAAACGATAGGGCTGGAGTTTTTTGAGCTGAAGGTACAAGTATCGAAGCAGGCTTGCTTACAAATAGCCCAGACTATTCACTACTGATAATAACTGCAGGCTTGGGAGTTATTTAAAAAACAAAAAAAAAGGAACGCTTGGGACCATTGCTCGTTTCTTTTTCAATCAAATTTGAAAATAATCTGGCAGCAAAAAATAAAAAATAAAAAATATCACCAACAGAAGTTGAATCTAACGAAAGATACTAGTTTCTCATAACATGATAAATTAATATTTGAATATCTATTAAAAGAGTTACTCACATTTAATACCGACAATTCTAAAATAAGATTATTTCTAATAAGGGAATACTTATACTTTAGTCAAGAAAAATGAAAAATTATCTTGCATCAAGAAAAAAATTTAAAAACTGTCCATACCCATATAAAATATTAAATAATATTTAACTAATCTGATTATATTAAAAAAAAAAAGGTGAGTTGGTTTATCATAAGAAATAAGATATTTTTTTTCTAAAATATCATAATCATCTTAATTAATATTCTCTCTTCCTCTCCTACTTGATTATAACTGAGAGAGTATCAATATGAATAATTTTAAAAAAATAATAAATATAAAAAATAAATCTTATATTTAGAATTAATGTCAATTTAACAAGTCATACTGGGCAGTGTTCACCCATCAACACTATATTCTGATTTAATTTCCCAAATTCTCTATACCAAGAGCCAGGCTTCGTTACATAAATCATGCTCATTTTTTACGCTCAATCCTATCAATTCACACAAACTTGTATAAGTAAAAAAATGTTTCTTTATATTTTTTCACCAAATTTGCACATTTCTTTTGCCGCCTATCAAATATGCATTTTAAATAAATGTTTATTAAGGATAAGTTGTCACAGTGGAAATTTTCTGTAATGTTTACCTTCCTTTATTTTTGTAAGCACAACATATTAGAGAGAGATAAATCTTTTATAAATGCAAAATACAAAAACTGTACACACACACTATACCTCTAATCTAGGACCGGGGTGGGTGCGTGTTAATATACACATACACTATTTTTATTTTTATTTTAAATATAAAATTCTAATCCACTTTATTTCTCATATTTATTTATTTTTTCAGATAGTACTTTTAACAACAGTAATTCTAAACAAAAATATTTTAAAAAAGATAATGTCTATTTATTATAAATAACTAATTTAATTTTTTTAATTTACTCAAATTAATTATAATTAATTAGTTTTTATATATAGAAGCAGAGGTAGTATATAGATTTTCCAACCATGGTCCTCAGCCGAGCAGAAAATTAGGACGGCGGAGGAACTAGGAAATGGGCCTTAAAATTTCATGGGATCGGCCTAACGGCGTAACCTCGCCGTCCCAGCGAGCCGGTTCCAAGTTTCTCCCTCTTCCTGGAACGAAGAGGCAGTAGAAGAGTAACGACGGAACGACGTGAATTCATGTGAGAGGAGAGAAAGACTCGGCCAAAAAACAGACGGACGCAGGATATATACGCTGCTTCCTTGCTTCTCAGCTCCTGTTATTGCAATCAAACTGTGAAATCTGTTTTTGAATTCGTCGTATACAGAACAAACATGGCACAAGATTCTGAGAAGAGGCTCCGTTCCATCATGGACAAGCTCGTCCATGCTCCCAAATCCGGACTTCCTTCTTCCACCTCTAGGTACTCTCCCTTATCTTTGTTTTTCGTTCATTTTTTTTCCATCTATGATTATTATTGGTAAGAATCAGCCTAGCGGTTTTTCCCATTCAGCTGCCATGAAAATAAAGGGGTGTTCTGATCTCCTGAAAGCAATTATCGAGTCATATCGCTGTCTTTTTACCCTTATGTTTGTATGCTGTGATGACTCCTTTGTAAAACAGTGAACCGCAAAGTGTTTGAGACAACTAGAACATTAATTTCAATTAGCTTTCGAAATCTCTGACATTTTCCTTTTTCTGAAAAATGTTCAAACCAGCAAATGTAGCCTTGGTTTGCTGACTTAAACTTTGTAGATGTTCTCATTATAGTTTCTTAATCACAGCTCAATTACTCAAGTTGGAAGTTTGATGCTTTAAATATTTTTGCCAAGATCTGTTAGGAACTGGGAGGTAGTGATATGTTTTTCTGTTTTCAGTACATCAGGAGTACTGCTATCGGGAAGTAAAAAACGTTCATACGAATCAACTACGTTAGGCGCATGGGAATCAAATTTGAAAGGGGATGCTGCTGATCGGCAGCCTTCCTCAGCTCAAGCTGGAGCCACTACAGGTTCACGCTGCAGACCATGGGATCGTGGTGACTTTATTAAAAGACTAGCCACCTTTAAATCAATATCGTGGTTTGCTAAACCAAAGGTTGTATCTTGCTTTCCATGGTTAACATTTGTAGTATTTCACTCCTTCTCCCTCTCCTAATGTTTTCTTTACTCTCTTAGAAAATTTGTATTCGTTCTTTTGTTTAAAATTTTAATCCTACTATAAATGTCCATTTCGGCATCATGATTATAAACTCGTGATCTAATGCTTAGTTTGCTATTTCCGAAAATATCTATTGTTTCCTTTCATATGTGACTGCTAGATAACTCAGTAAAACTAAAATTTTGGATAAGATTTTAATCCCAATGCATATGTGCATTTTGACATCAGAATTATGATATGATGCTCTGAATATAATGTCTTTCTCCTGTTACTTGCATCTTGAGAAAATAACTGATGATTTTTTATGCTATGACTATTTATTGACAGTGAAATGTATGTTACTCTTGGAGCTGGGCATAAATACGTGCTATTACCTATGTACCTTGGATTTCATCTAGCTCCTTTGTTTTCCTCATATGAGCGAGAGCACGGTTGAGTTTGAGGGCATTAGGCCTTTAAGCATAAGTCACTATTTTTACCAATGCAAAAAATCAATAAGCCCATAGTTGAGTTTTCCCCGTCAATGAACATTTTAGCAGAAGGGGAGTATTTGAAAGTTTGTGGTTGTGGATATCTTGGAATAATGTTGTTAAACTATATACGACAGAGTTAGGTATTTTTCATTGCTATGTCCTTATGGCATAGTTTTTCTTCATTAAAGAAAGTCTGACGCTTCCTTATTTTCCTTATTTGTGAATTTAGTTTACAGCTGGCTTCCTGTTGTCCCTTCCTTCTCTTCCCAAAAAAGTTGTGATGGTTAATCTTTTGGCTTCTAATGTTTGCAGGTGGTAAGTGCTGTAAATTGTGCTAGAAGAGGTTGGATCAACATAGATATTGATACCATAGCCTGTGAAGCATGTGGAGCTCGTATCCTTTTCTCCGCACCAGCATCTTGGAATCAGCAGCAAGGTTTGCCACTGTTCTCATTTCTCTATCTTTTCCGTTTTGTGACAATATATGGTTTACAGATTTTTACCTAGACTTTGTTTTATTCAGTGGAGAAGGCAGCTTTGGTGTTTAGTCTAAAGCTGGATAGTGGACATAAATTACTTTGTCCATGGAGGGGCAATGTCTGTGATGAAACACTAACAAGATTTCCGCCTACGCCTCCTCAAGTATTAGTCGATAATTATAGGGAACGTTGCTCTGCTCTCTTGCAACTATCAGCTCTTCCTCAAATTTCACAATCAACAATAGATTGCTTGAAAAGCCCACTACTAGATGAATTCCTTGGAGAATCTTCAATGCTAGAGGGTGGAAATGAATCTGCCAACACTTCAGAAATAGAAAATCTTAGCAGCCCGCATGAACTGAAGTTATATTACCAGGTATAACTATATGCTAGAAATATAGAGGGTTTTATTTGCTCTCCGTAGGTTGAGGTTTATTCAACTTTTGACATATTGCTTGATTAACTTGACACTTCCTTAAGAACTATAATTTGTTCAGACTTTGTTTAGTATAGGGTTACAGCACTTCCATATCATTCTTAGGAGATGCCATGTGACTTCTTGCTTTAAACAACACTTACATTGGCTGGTGTTTGCTGATAGTTACATTTCTGGCTTGATTAATTTTCACTTGTAAATGAAGTACGTGTTGTGAGCCATCATGAGTAAACTGGAGAGTCTGCCTGCTTAAGTTCTTACTCTTGCATTAATACTGGTTTAACCACAATTTTATTCACCTAAGGATGCATATGATGGATGTACGTAATGTCAATTAATATATTTCCAGCATCAGATTAGTTCTCATGAGATCTTGAACATATCTTAGAATCTCCATCTCGGCTAGTGATTTAAAAAAAAAAAAAAACCTTTCGCAGGCTCAGAAGCTTATAAGTTTATGTGGCTGGACACCTCGTTCTCTGCCTTACCAAGTTGACTGCAAGGATATTCCAGATCAGTCCGTGAAAAATATAGTTACAGATATGAAGAATAATAACCTCATTTGGCATTCTGCTAATGCTGATGAAAGCTTAGACACAGATGCAAATTCTAAGGGTTCTATTGGGGAACAACTGAATCCGAATTCTGTGGTTTTAGATTGTAGCCTCTGTGGCGCCACTGTTGGATTGTGGGCATTTGGTACTATTCCCCGGCCTGTCGAGATATTCAGATTAGTGGGGGACACAGAAATTGTTGAGAATGGTAATGAGAATTCATCCAGTAAACATGATAAACATGATCTTGGAACTAGGCAAGGTGTTACAGGTACCTTGTCAAATGTTGCAACTTCATCCCAATATAGTTCAAGCCTAAATATGACAATTGCTGGGGGCCCTTCTCCAACAAAACAAAATTTTAAAGCAACGATATCTTTTCCTGTTATTGGTCAGAATTTAAGGGCTCGGCTTTCCTATGATTCTGATTTTAAAGATCATGCTTTTGTTGATGGGGATAGTATTCAGTCTGACTCACAGAAGAGGATCAGGCTTCAGGAGGAAACAGATTGTACAGTTGATTCTTCCACAGGACAACTTGTTCCTGTGTCATCTGAAACAACGGAAATTTTACATGCAACTGCTCCTCAAACTAGTCCTACTAATTCAAATGTAGATGATGCTATGGTGGAGACCCAGCATGAAGGGCACTTTCCAAGTTTTAAGGATACGATTCCTATGCATCTAGAGTCTGACGGATTGAATATTTCAGTGGCAGTAGGTCCTAGTAGCTCCCAGGTTAGAGATTCTTTGGCTGTAAGTTTACTGTAAATTATTATACAAGTATAAAAAGTTCCTCAGCCGATTAATTATTCTGTCTCGTATGCAATTCTGACTGCACAAAGGAACATGATTAATGAAGTAGGGGCATAACTTCTTGCAAAAATGATGTCGTATAAACTAGCGTAATGAGCTCACTAACTAGTGTTGCATCTGATATGCAACCTTGGTCGGAAGATGACATCTGTTTTGCTGTGCAGAAAGATTTGGTAGAAGGTAGGGTCCTTTCTGCTGCACAAGAGATTTCAGGTGTACAACTTGGTAATCTTGAGAATTATGAGGTCAGAAGCAGAGTAGAAGATCCTGTAAACCGTGACGATGTAAATTGCAATTTAGGTAAGCACTATGTTTGATAGCTCCTTGAAATCTTATAATTATCTTCCATTTAAACTTAGTTGTGGATTACAGTTCATTTTCTTCTTCTGTTCAGTGTTTATACTTTATAGCTCTCTTGTTCAGTTATGTTAAGTGTAAACTTGATTCGTTTATGGCTAAAACCCCTGCCTCCTGTTGACAATGTTCTAATGGACTGTTGCATCATCTTGGCTATGTTTAAGCGTGAAGTATATGATTTACCCGTCATTATCAGCTGACTTGTTAGATTAGTGAAGAGTTTCAGAATCATCTTCCCTTTCCCTTCCAGGAAAAGACCTGAGACCATTATTGTCTGGTAAAGCAATGGAGTTTGATCCAATTAGGCAGCACAGACATTTCTGCCCCTGGATTGCATCCTTGAATGATGATGAACCTGGATGGAAACAGACATTATCCGCCTTACTTCATCAGAAAAATCATTCGAATTCTCCACCACATCAATCTCCCTCATCGACTTCCATCATTAAGGTATTTGCAAATCTCGCTCTAAAAATCTTTAAATTGTAACAAAACAAATTGGTGGATGCTATTGTCAGGACAAGATTGCATCGAATCACACTACCTTTCCCCATTTAAGTTCTTGGGAGAAAACCAAGTGCCGGAATATATGCTTCTAAAGTGACAAGAATCTATAGTTAATTGTCACGCTAACACCCCAATCCATTGGCGCTAAAAGTGAAAAGAGAAAGAAGTTAGCCCCCCTCATACTCTTAGGTACAGCTGCTGAAAGTGAAAAGAGAAAGAAATAATGTCAACGCTCTTGATAGAAAGCGATCAGACAATGAAAGTTCCGATAATTTTTTTTTTTGTTTAATTATATTATAGTCTCAACTTTATTACCTGACATGTCTGCCAATATTGGTGAAGTAGCCTACAACTTCTTTTTTGGTGAACACATTCGACTTCTTGATGCGTTTAGTTTCTTTTACTGGGTGTTCAGGTGGACGACCCTATTGGTTCTGTGAAAAGACTTTTCATGTCTCCATCCATGAGAAGAACGAAACTACCTCGCATCTCAGGACACGATATAGAGCAGAGGTAGGTTAGGCCAGACGTCCAGGTGGTAGTCCCGTCCAACCCTATTCAAGTTATGCTTACGTCGCATTTTTCCTTGTTTGTTATCCATTTTCAAATTGTTCTCAATCATTTTTCACCCTTTTTGTTTTGCCATGTCCTTCCCGACAAACCAAGCACTGGGTAACACCTTGATGCTTGTGATTCACGATTGCTGTTCTGTAAAACTAAGTGGTCATATCTTTATTTTATTTCATTTTTTTTACACGAGATTTGCTGTACATATGGTAGCATTATTATTAGTTACAGTCGAACTTCGTGGATGACAATGGGCTTTGCTATCCAATGTTGGTGCTGGTCCTTGTGTTCATATGGGACCAGAATCTTGACGCTGCAAAGCTCTGCACATAGGGCCAATGTAGAGAATGATGAGCCGAACTCTTGATTGTGTTTTGAGATCTAATGACGTTTGGGCGAAAAAAGCATTATAGAAAATGTAAACGATGCTTCGACTTGTCCAAGAGGTTGCATCTTCCTTGGCGACACGAAATCTTCGAGCATAATTTATTATTTGAATAATAACTAATTCAATTATTAATAATTTGGTTCTTGAATTTTCAGTTTACTTTTTTGAGTTGATCTTTTAAAGAGGAAAGCATAATTTTTTAGTCTGTTGAGGTGAGGTCGATATGAGTTAAGCTGCTTATAGTTTTTTATTAGACAGTTATTTTTAAGAATTATAGTCAGTCGTAGTTAAAATTTAGGGGGATGACGTGTTGTTGATGTATCAATAACATTTGGTAACAATAAGGATTTTGATTAAATACCTGATCCTAAGTTGCACATGCTTTTTAGGACTAAAATTATATTTTTGTTTTTAGAAATTTTCAATTTTTTTAATCAAATTGTCATACGATAAAACTTGTTTATTTGATGTTATCAAAAAAACTTGTTTATTTGATTTGTTGGAGCGAAATGGACGACAGCTCATCTAATATAGAAGTATGATGCATTTTACAGGCTTTTGCGTTTGTACAGTATATTAGTATCAGTGCTGTTTTAAAATAACTCCCATTATACAAGTTTTACAAAACCAAATAATTAGTGAATAAAGTCATTTTGAGGGGATTAACAAGTTGTTGGTTGAAATAAAAATCAGTTTTACTTTATAAAGAGGAGATTACAAGTTTGAACCCTAAAAAATATATTTGTTACGAGGGTTTTAATCTTAACGCTCTTAATCAGACATAGATTAGTATCAAGTTCAAAGTGTTTTGAGAATATACTAAGTCATACAAAAAAAAAAATCGTTTTGAGGGGAAAATGCCAGCTTAGACTGAAGTTAATAATCAACTAAACTTCAAATTATGCCATGCTAAGTCATCAAGTAATTGAATTTTTTTTTCCAATGGAATATATATTTTAGCTGAGAGACAATTCTTTAAAAGCCCAGTTAAGAAGTTTATACACACACACACGCTAAAAAAAGTTAAAAACTTTCACCCAAAAAGGGGGGGGAAAGCAAAGAAAGAAAATTTACTATCATAGTGCAACTTAAACTTGTGGTGTGATATATGAAAGCCTCAGATCAAAGAGCAAAACACCATAATTGGCCCCAGAAAAAACAGGGGATCCTTATTACACCAAAGAATTTGGTGCGAAAGAAAAAGTCCGAGTCTCTTACATTGATCTACCCTCATGGCCCCTTCTAAGATGACCAAATCTTCATCCCAAAATAGAAATTTTCTTTCCTCTTACAAATTCCCTTCTCTTCTTCACTCTCTCACTCTCTCTCTCGAACCTTCAACCTATTTGCCATGGCTGAAGCGCAACCCACCTCAGCCAATTCGCAAAAAGCCTCAAAACCCAAATCCTCCTCATTTCTACGTAAACTTCATAAACGGGCACCAACCCCTTCTCAGTTCGTCGGCCTCGTCACCATCTTCATCATCGCCTCCATCTCCCTCTTCGTCGCTGGTCTAACTGTCGCCGGGATCACTCTAACTCTCGTTGTCCTCACGCCGTTAGTCGTCTTATCCAGTCCCATCTGGGTCCCCGCCGCTGCCATCTTCTTCCTCTTCGTCGCCGGATTTCTGGCCGTCTGCGGATTCGCTGCCGTCGTCCTGGCATCGTTGTCGTGGACGTGCCGGTACTTCCGTGGACTCCACCCGCCCGGTTCGGACCGGGTCGACTACGCGCGGAGCCGAATCTGTGACACGGCGAGCCATGTGAAGGATTGTGCTTGGGAGTATGGTCGCCTTTTGCAGGGCAAGGTGAAGGACGCCGCGCCGGGCGCTTGATTTTTTGTTTTGGGTTTTGCCTGCATGATTTTGATTTTGATTTTGTGTGCTAATTTAGAAACAGGGATTATTTTTTGTTAATTGAGAGTAAGTTAGGCTATATTTGCTATATGGATTAATTATTTTTTAAAAAATAAAGTACTTAGATTCACAAATGATCGAGTTAGAATTAATTATTTTTTACTTAAGCCATTTACTTACTACGTTCTCGTTTTCACTTGAGATGAATGCCATTTTGTTAACTTTATTTGGGTGAACAAACAAGCTCATGACTATTAAAAAGCACAAGTTTAACTAAACATTACATTATTACTGGTTATTTTCTTATTAGATATTTCAACTCTATTTGAATTTAAAAGATGTTTTCGAGAGAGTTACTCCTTACTTAAGATTTGACAATGTATTAAAAATGGATTTAATAATGCTACTACTATATATAATGCAATGCATAAAAAAGAATATTACAAATCCAATTAGAGGGTGTCGCAGGAAGAATCATTTATCACTGTTTCAGCCCTAAAGGACTCCCTGAAACTCTCTTAAAACGCTCATCCACTTGAACCTAGTTATAATGTTTCAAACTATCACTTGGTGTCTTTTAAAATGCTCACTGATCACTTAGACCTCAATCCCCTCCAACATGTGCAATGCCCAAACAAGTTTTAGTTTACTCCTTAATGCGTCTAGTTTTATTGCACACATGCAAATCACTGCTGACTATTGCCTTATATACACATATATACATACGTACAAATATATATACACACTGCCTACCTCTGGTCTTAAATATAAAACCTAATATGTAATGTAATTTGTACTAAAAATTAGATCTTATGTTTAAAATAAAAAATATTATAGTTTTCTTTCATCATTTGTCTAGAAATATAATTTTTATTGGCTTTATAACACATGCATGAAATTTTTTGCTACGTATAAATATTTTCTTATTAAAGGTGATCTTATTCAAAACATTATCGGGTATTAAATGTAAACATTTTTCATAGCGGGGATTTTGATTCGTTACATTGTGAGGGACTAATCCCTTTTACAAAACCTAACTCCTGTTAATCAAGTGCATGAAATTTTGCTTCAACTATGAGATACTAGTATCGTGGACTAAGCTCTGTTGAGTTTTTTTTTTTTTTTTAAAAAGCGAATGAAAGTTTAAGTCAGTTAGGTTCTGGGAGCTCACTGGAGTGAAAACAAGCCTCCAAGCTCAAAGAGAAACAGAGTTACTTATATATTACCTACTATCAAAGTCCTCATATCGGCAACAGGATTTAAATTCACAACTTTATGAGTTATAAGTCGATTTTTGTCAATTGAACCAACTCTTGTTGGCTAGGCTTGGTTGAGTTAGCAATAATATACTGCTTTCGGTCCTTAATATAAAAACCCATTTAACTTTTATTTTAGTTCTAAATATAAAACTCCAATCTACTCTTTTTTTTGTGAAAGACCTAAATCCCCTTTGTCTCTCATATTTATCTATTTTTTTCCTTGGTAGTTCTTATAATGATAGTTTTAGCTAATACACTTGATTAGTAAGAAAAATTTAGAAAAGACAACACATGTTTATTATAAATAACTAACTTAACTAATTTTTTTAATCTATTTAAATTAATTAACTAGTTTTTATATAAGAATCGGAAATAAATAGTACTCCCTCCGTTCCTTATTATAAGAGACATTTGATGCTTATGGCATATTCCTATATATAAGAGACACTTACAAGTTGTCTCTACTTTTTTGTGTTGATTTACTATTTTACTCATATTTATTATCTCCAACTCACACTCTCTCCCCCTCCCACTTCTCTTTCTTTTAATAATTTAATTGTTCTCTCTCATGCTCTCTCTCCTTATTAATGAGAGCATTTTTGAAAAAAAAATGATACTTTTTACATATTAATTGTTCTTAACTAATTTTAACTGTTTTTTTGATCAACGTACTTCGATTATTTGTCTCTTATAATAAGAAAAGGAGGGAGTAACATGTAGAGTAAGGCATATGGGGGCTCGTGATTCAGTCTTACATGATATGTGGGCCAGCTTGGGCCTTCCCACTCTATTTTTAATAAAACCATATGTAATTTGTGGTGTTCCGTAGACTCTAGTAAAGCCTGAAAAAGTAAAGCCTCGTCAGAAACAAACGCGGAGGTTTTTGCGCAGGGAGAGCAAAAGCGAATAGATAGGTTAATACAGTTCCATTCAATTATAAAATAAAAATAACAAACAATTAAGATTATTCAATTCAAATTAATTCTAAACAATATGAACATCCAATAACAGCAGTTCATTAATATAAAACATAAAATGCACAGCATATTACATTATTTATAAGTCATAAACAATATAATCAAGACAATTTACGTACGCACAGGATGGATTCATCCAGTTTAATGCTCAATATTTTAACTTTTGTGGAAGCCATATTAATCTTTTAATGCGTGGCTCTCTTGCTATGGTACGTCAAGGGTCTTTTGACCCCTCTCCATAACAGTTTTTCTGTTTTATATTTCGAACTAGCGAATCGGTTTTGTTAGACATCATAACAGAAGTATGTCATCAATTTTATATTTTACATGCAGTGATGATGATGCTTCCTTCAGTTTGTAGACAAAAGTTAGGTTTTATATTAATGTAGTAATGTAAAGTTCAGTTACCTAATTTATGGACGATAAAAAGGTTAAATAAATTATTCAATTATAATATATGTTAAATGATCTATTTGACATATTTACGTGTATCATCGTATTATATATCACCTTAGAAATCAAGTGACTTGGTTTGAAGAAAAAAACTATTACTATAACTGTTTTAAAATAACTTATTTATCTTTCTTAATTTTTTAAAATTAGTTAACTAAATTTTATATTAATAATAAGAGGTAATACATGTATATATTTTACCGCTCAATACCTTACCATCTCCAAAGTAATAATTAAATTATAAATTAAATCTTATATTAAGGAGAGGAAGAAATGTTATTATTTACATATGTGTCATGATGTTCTTCTCAAATTAACGGGGAGATTAAATCTGGAAGTTGTGTGACTATGATGAAAATAATGCATAGGACGGAGACCCGTCGACCTATAGAAAAGTTCAACTGCCCCCTGAGGAAGGGGCTATTAAACAAGTTGAAGTTTGCTGTATATCACTTCCCCTGACTCTTCAATTGTTCAAAGGTCTTTGGGTGTTGAAGCAGTCATGAGGCGCGAACACACTATTCCCCGCACTTTTATTATTTATGTAAATGTCCAAGTCAGCCCACTTCGTCAAAGTCAACCCTCTGACTTCTACCCCTCATCTCATGCTTCATGCATCAGTATCCCATTTTTCTTTCTTATCTTCAACTCAGCCTATGACACCATTTCTTTACTTTTTTTTTTTATTTCTCTGTTTTTGTTGTTTAAAATTAAACCCTTACTCCTAATTATAAAAGCCAGTTATAGGGTTTATGTTGATTTTAAATGTAAGATTTTAAACTCACTTTATCTTTCAAAATTATAATTTTTTTCCCTTAAACTATCCATATCGATTACGCATATGAAAAAAGTCTTCATAAATAAAAATTATAATACAAATTATTAAATAAGAATATTTTTTAAAAAAATACCAAATATTTCTTATAAATAAATAATTTAACTAGTTTTTTTTTGAATTTTTTTAAATTATTCATCTAACTTCTATATCGAGAGAAATTCAAAGAAGTGGCACTTATTTTGACAATGAAGTGTTTTCCCCTTTAACGTGATGTGCATCATAATGAATTAAAGATTATCATGTCATTTATTTGAGGTGGGAATTGGGATATCCCACAAGCAAGTGGAAAAGTATGATGATGATAGGCGTTAAATTAAGAAAAAAGAATATATCATCACAAACGCGAGCGAGAGCACAAATTTTTCTGTGAATAGGCAATACTTGTAAGATGTTACTTTCAGAAACTTGTTCAATTATTAAACAAAAGTTGCAAAAAGACAAAGATGAGCGAGTTGTGTTGGCTTCAAAATCTCAAAAATGACGCATCCACACGATTATCTTTTTATAATCAAAGGTGTTAGCATTTGCATATGATGAAAGATTAAGGTCCATTTGTTTAAAATTAGAAAAGAAATTATTTTTTCAACGCACACCTCATTTTATTTACCACAAGATTATCCCATTGATTTTTTCACGTTTGATTAACCAAAATTAGTTTTTCGCCCCCTACAAATGGGTCCTAAATCAATAAGACAAGTCTATACGAAATCAAACCAAAACAAACTAATTTACACAGATTCAAAAATCACGTTCCGAAAGCTACAACCGATTAATGCCCTCATAGAAAAACAAACAAATACTGTTACTAAAATTCCCATTTATAAAGAGTTTTTTTTTTTGCCAAATATTTGTAATGATTTAAATATGAGATCTTTCTTTCTTTTTTCTTGACTTATGTTATGCTTATGCTATTAATTAATGGTCTTCTGCCTAATTAATTTCCAGTGATCTATGCAGTGACAGGCGGGTAAATGAACAAATAATCGAATAGTGCAGAAAAGTAAAATTAAGTAAATTTGTGTTTCTATCACTTTAACAAATGAAAAAACTAACAATATTTTTCGAAATGACGTATACGCGAAGCTGTTCAAAATTTCATTTGAATTCCATTTGTATAATCGATTTTGGACTTGATCAACAAGTTTTTGTGTGTGTCCAGGTCTCTCATCTCGAAGTAGAGAATATAATCAATTAGTCTTCAATTATAGATTCTAACACCGATGATAGACTTTTAACCTTTGATTCAAATCGATTCAACCATTAATTGATTTATGAGTAGAATTATTAATCGGGTTTTACTAAAGAACCCATTTTACTGCTTCAAAGGTTTCTCGAAACGTGTCATATTATTTTTAGTATTAAGGATTTTCAGATTCGAATCTCTTTTTAATTGCTTTTCTTTTCTGCTGACTCTCCAAACCTTTGAGCTTTAGGCTTTAAGTATTGTGTGCTGTGTTGTTTTTTTATGTTAAGAAAATGGCGGATTCAACGTTGCTGGAAGCAAAATTGACAAATTGGAAAGCTTCGACTCATCTCTATGGCTTGGTAAGAGCTAAAGT